ACAAGTATGAGCTAAGTGCTGTTAGGGATTATAATGCTAAGAAATTTTAACCGTAACTAATGTTGTTTTATGTAAGATGTGTATTTCTTAGCACCTCCTTACAAGATATCTCAAAAGTAAAGGTACGTTGTAACATTTTGTGATATGAAAAATTCATGTTTATGTTTATTATGTAGCCGACAGAAAAGGGGCGTATGCCCGAAGATATTCCTGAATAAAGATTGATGTCAAAGATGCCCAGTGTCTATCTGTGCACCTAGTTGTAACAGAAAAAAAACAAATAAACGAAGACACAGTTTCAGAATAAGCAAATTATTTTTTTTATTTCAACATATTGTGTATTTTCAAGTAAAATAAAATTTTACTTAAATTTCACAAACATCTTTAACTTCTAATTTCAAAGGTTAATTAAATAAATAAAAAAATATAACAAATTTCAAACAGCAATTTGGTTCGCATTAGATGTCTTTTCCTATTTATGGCGTATTCTAGTGTCTATAGCCAATCTATGGTTTATATTTAGCTACGATTTTACAAAAGGTATCCACAAGTTTCCAGAACGTGCTGTAGTTGAAGTTCCACGTTTTTGAATTCTGTCACACGAGGGTGCATATCTTGGAAACGATTAAGATACTGGTAGTTCTTAGTGTAGGTTTGCAATTTTTAGTTTTTCATTGGCGACATGCCTTATGAAACCAATTCAGGTAGATATTGTGAAGTAGTTGGCTGCTATAATAGCCAGAGTTCTTTATAAGTGGTTTGAAGCTATATGCGATGTACACGAAAACATGATGAAAAGAAATTGTCCATGTATTCAACTACTTTACCACTTGAAAAATAATTATAAGAGTCAAGACTCCTATAATTAAGCATTTCTTCGTAGTCGTAGGCTTTACTATAAGATATTCTAAAGGTGGCCATTCTCTCATATCATTATTCAACGATTTTACAGTACTAATTGATGAAAATAAATTAGAAAATACAAGTCTGTAGAAGTAACTATGAAAAAATCCGAAAATTTTGCATTAGTTCGTTTAGTTATGGCAACGCAAACACTTGTGCGATCTAGCCTAGAGGAATGCCTTCCAGGAGGCCTTTTTAAGGGAAACTGGCTCCTATTTAGGCGTTACAGACATGGAGAAAACCCGAAAAACTCCACTTGGCCAGCCCATCCGAGCTCGGTGCGAACTCACGTCCGAACTCACAGTGTTCAGAATACGAGGACCGCTCAGCCACTGGTAGGCCTTGGTTTGCATTAGACTTAATTCTATTATTTTCTGTGAATATTTTGGACTACTTTATAAATTAAACGGTGATATAAGTATTTCCTGATAGACAAATTAGTAAAATTTTAGAAGTCATTTTTGCCAATTATCTTCTAGGAAAAAATAGAATTTAAGTTTTTTTACGTTAGTAAAAATTTAAACTTGTGTAAAAACGATTGAAAATACAGTACTCTTTTTCAGTAGCGTGCCGTCATTGAAAGCGGTGGATGCGCCGCTTCCCTTGTATTTTCTAAAAAATAAATACATATTAATTTTAATTATATGAAAATAATCGCACAATATTTTATTATAATCGCATTATGTATCTTATTACAAATTTCTATAATACACGTGAAAAAAAATAAGATCGCTATTGTATATTCGAATATTAGAGGCCGAATGGAAGCGCTGTATCGTCAACATCCAAAAAGCCAGATTCGCGTATGCGCTTTACGGAGCACCAACCTCACCCGGTTTAACCGGTGAAAGCCTGGGTCCTCGGGTGGATGCTACACGTATACCGCATCCAATTCTATCCAGGACCGGTTCCGGGCTGTTAGCCGCCTGCCTGCTAGATTATTGGCCGCCCTCGCTCGATTACGCGAATCGCGAGTAGATTTACTATAACTTAACCCAACCGATAAGAATTTACTGGTATGTTTTTATGATAGTTCTGTATAGTTGACAGGAGTTTAAAAAATCCATTAAAATATTTGATATTTTTATTCCGATCTCCGATTTTATATTACGAATTTCAATGTTAAATTATACCAGTGATATTACGATTTCGTATATCCCATCTTTAAGGGGATGTAGAAAAAAACGTGTACAATTCTTGTATAATGTTAAAAAATTAACTATTACTTCGACAGCATCATTTACAACTAAATTTAATGAATGAGAGAGATGCACGAGGTACGGAAAATGCTCTAGAATTTATTTTCCTTAAATTTACGATTTATGTATCCGTTTGTCATAAAAATTTGTCTTTCCACTTTTCCCCGAGACTACAAATATTCGAGTACAAAGTAACCGGTTTCGATTTATTTCTACTTAAGAAGTAGTCAAATAATTAAGCGATTAAGGAATTGGGGACATAAATAAAACCCTGCTGAAAGAGCCAGAATTTTACTTAAACAAAAGCTTAACCGAACCATCTCTAGCCGAGTAAAGTGGATACTGATTTCTTCGTATTATTAATTTAATAAAGAGAGAAATTTTTCCAGTTCAATGAGAGTGACCGAAAAGTGGTAAATTTTGGAAATTTCTGAGGACACTTGGTCCTAAAACGAATTAGTTAGAAAACAAATGACGGACAATTTATTAAGTTTAACATATTTAGATTTTTACAGCTATGGCGAGAAACGTTTAAAATTTACAACAACCCTGTCGCGTTATTTGAGGTATACTAGTGATGCGACAAACAGAGCCGTAACTAGGCAGGTGCAATAAGGTGCATTCGCACAGGGCCCACTTGGAAGGGCGCCCAAACTGCTGTTCACAAGAAATTATAGTTTTAAATCTTAAATTTTTCCTCCGTTTTATTGGCGATTACATTTTACCTTATTCAGACTCTAGATGTCTGCTCACCAGTGTTCCCAACCGCGGCGACTTTTAGAGGGACGTAGTGAGATAGCGGAGACAGCAGACAAATCAGCCAAAAGTACCGACTTTTGAAATTTTGTTTATTTATTTTTTGAGAAATTTAAATTTATGTTTATAGTTTTCAAATTTATAGATATTTCTCTACTTTATAGAGCTCTCTGGCGACGACTAATATTATTACGATATATAAAACTGTATTTCTAGATTTTTCTACAGTGTGCAGAGCTAGAAATCTGTAAAGGTAACATTTTGTAACAAAAATAAATCTGCCCGAGGATTTTTTTAAAATTACTAAATTGAAAACGGTAACTCCCGAATAAAATCTTAGTCTCGAGGTTGTAAAAGGCGTGCAGAAATTCTGACATCATTTTTTGCTTTATAGTGGTACGCATATGTGGTGTATACCTGAACGGCGGATTAAGCGGTAAGCGAACTATGCGGGCGCGTAGGGCCCCGAAGGGGCTCCCGCAGTCTTTAAAATGCTACTGAAAAAAGGGATTGCGAAAACGCAGAAGATAGAAATAGTCCAAAAAAACGCTTCGATATATATAGATACATGGAAGTAATAAATGATATAGCTTTATGGCCAACAATATTAACAGATGCTATTATTGATCATATTCTTAAAACAAACCAAAAAGTATAGAAAAGGGATTTCTTAATAAACGAAAAAAAAGAGTTAAGATAATGGAAATAGATAAAACACCAGATGAAGGAAGTAACTTGACACCCGAAAAATTATTTAAAATACAAATTTACAGTGTTCTTGACACTCTATTGTGTCAAATAGATTGGCGTTATGAAAAAATGAAAACTATCTGTGACGATTTTTGCTTTCGCTGTGGCTCGTCTTTACAATGCATGAGTTTGCTGATTTAAAAAAATCGGCTGCAGATCTCGCTATTAAATATAGCAAAGATTTAAAAAAGTACGAATTCACAAGTGAAATTGAAAGTTTTAATTTTGAAGTAACGACTCTTATACAAAATATAGAAACTGCATCTCCGCTTAATATTCTACAGGCTCTTCATGATTTTGGTTTAATTGAGTCTTACCCAAATATCAATGTCGCTCTTCGAATATTTCTAACTCTTCCCGTTTCTATTGCTTCGTGCGAGAGAAGTTTTAGCAAGTTAAAATTAATAAAAAATTTATTAAGATTAACTATCGGGCAAGAACGATTGTCCAATATTTCTATTATTTCAATAGAATACATTATCATTAAAAATATTAATTATGATCGTGTAATTAATGAATTTGCTGAAATGAAAGCTAGAAAAGTTCAATTAAAATAAATCTTATTAAAAATCTATTGTAATATATTTGTTTTATTTTCCCAAACCATATAAATTAAGGGCCTAAATGCAAATTCTTGCACAGGGCACAGGAATGGCTAGTTACGGCTCTGGTGACAAAAGAGGTATTTGACATTGACCGGTATCGGCACCCTCGGGATTTGGCAGTCCGCGTGCATGTATATACTGCAGGACCGTCTCTGATCCCAAACATTAGCCACTGGTAGGGAGCTATTTGACTAAGTGGATTGTTTTAAGATTTAAAAAGTAAAGAATATTTTATGTTATTTTTATGTACAGTACAGTACGTTTCTTTATAAAGCTATATTTAATTATAATTTTCTTTAAAAGTATATTCGTACAATTGAAGAATATTTTGTACCAGGTATGTACAGTACATTTTATTTCACTAAGTTTTTTTTTTTATTTTTTTAAAAATTTTTTCCTTATATCGTGGCTAGCGATTCAGAATGCAATTGTTATATTAAAAATACATTTAGAGAAGTTTACGGTTTTTACTGGCTTATCGAACAAACGAATATGAATGGACCCTAGACCATCACTGACGCGCAATTAACTGATGCCTCTGGAAGTCGGTTTCTTACAGAAACACAGCTTCCCTATCGTCAAATGTTACGACACGCCACTGCATTTATGTAAACTTTTTATTACATAAAATAAAATTTAAAACAATTAGTTTTTTAGTAAAATAATGTTTTCTTAAACCATACTTCACGAAAATTGGACAAAATATATAAATTTCCATTGTTTCTTTACAAAGCTATCTGTTATATCGAAAATGTATTGTATAATCAATAATCAGACATAAATTTAAAATTCTAATAATTAAAACTGAATTGAAATGATATAGGCTTCAAATCAGTCATATTTAATTCACGAATGCTATAATTTAATGTTCAATCTTTGCATCAATTCACCTATATTATGCTGAACACGGATCATTATTCTGTATACTGAGACTTGAACAAATAAGAATAACGATAGAGTTAAATAAAGCGAAAGGAATGTAAATTTCAAATTTTTGATATCATTTTGTTAATTAATCGGTGAAATATTATTTTTTATTTTATCTTTTTAAAATATATTGCGACAAAATGTCGTAATGCTTATTTTATGATTGGTGGATTGTGTATCTCTAAACAGTTCACGTGAATGGATAATCTTCCTACTTATCTACTTTCAGTTAAGGACGTAAAATGTCTCCCATGTTTAACTGATTTGAATTTGTTTATATTCCGAGAATATTATTTGTAATGTACATCTTGCCTTTTATTATGGATTGTTGGCTTGGCAAAGTAAATTATTAGAATGAATGAGAAGTCAATCGAAGCGAAAGTCGTAGTTCTAGGATTACAGGGTGAGTTTCAACCAGCGTTAATCGATTAATGAATTAATTACTGTACTTTAACTAAATGTTTAATAAATGAATAAATCTACATTTAAAGTAACTACAAATTTTTTTATTTTATGCAAAAGTAAAGGACGTCATTAACTTTTTTTTATTTAATCTAATTAATGTTAAAGTAACGCATAAGCAGTTTGTTATGAAATTATATAAAAAAAATTGTATTTTTTTTTAAATAAATAAATAAATATTTCCATTCGTATCATATGGAAGATTCCTACTCTTTGATGCTTTACTCTTGATGTTCTTATTCATCTTGATTATCCTATAGACTTTTCTAAAATGGGAGGGGAAGCAATTCCAAGTATAGCATAGACCAGGGGTGGCGAACCTATGGTACCCGTCCCAAAGTGATACTTCGGGAGAAATCATGTGGCACGTTATGTGATCGANAAGTATAAAGAACCTATAGTCAGCCCACATTAAATCATTTTATAGTAATTATTTTCTTTAATTTGATTTTATAGCTTCGTAATCACTGGATTAATCATACATACAAAATTCAATCACCTTATTTTACAAAAAATAAATTATAACTAAAAACTCTTTGAATTATTCTCCAATATTTATAATTATGTTTAAAAATATAAAACATAGTTAAAAAAACTACTAAACATAAAATATGGAAATTTCTGTTTTATTTATGTACATATTTTTATTAATAATAAAATATAGTTTCTTTATTACTTGTTAAAACACTTATTTCTTATATTGAACTTATTAATCTTTTAACTGGCAAAATAAAAATAAAATCAAGATTTCAAAACAAAATGTAAGAAATGAACAAAATATTTATAATCTTCCAAATGTTTTTGCTTATTTTAAACATCATTTTTTTATGATATACTTCAAATATCATAAAAAAAAATGATGTTTAAAATAAGCAAAAACATTTGGAAGATTATAAATATTTTGTTCATTTCTTACATTTTGTTTTGAAATCTTGATTTTATTTTTATTTTGCCAGTTAAAAGATTAATAAGTTCAATATAAGAAATAAGTGTTTTAACAAGTAATAAAGAAACTATATTTTATTATTAATAAAAATATGTACATAAATAAAACAGAAATTTCCATATTTTATGTTTAGTAGTTTTTTTAACTATGTTTTATATTTTTAAACATAATTATAAATATTGGAGAATAATTCAAAGAGTTTTTAGTTATAATTTATTTTTTGTAAAATAAGGTGATTGAATTTTGTATGTATGATTAATCCAGTGATTACAAAGCTATAAAATCAAATTAAAGAAAATAATTACTATAAAATGATTTAATGTGGGCTGACTATAGGTTCTTTATACTTAAACAGGAGAAGGGAGCTGCAGCTGATAAATACAGGACTCCTCTTATTAAAACTTCATCAAGAAATATAGATCATCATTATTAACAATTAGTACATAATTATTGATATTCATTTGATGGCATAAAAAAGAATATAGAATTTTCTATAAAAGATTTTATTTTCAAAAATCTAATAACAAAACATAATATTTTTATCACAATATGAAATCAAATTTAATAGTTAGGTTGAAATAGAAGGTTTTCTAAGATCAAGTGAAGCATATTTTTCAGATGTACAGTACTTTATTTGTTTAAGTTCTAGTTATTCACAAATTTATCATAAAACTTATCACATTGTAAGTTGCAGTTTTTCTTTATAATTACCATTACTTTTGTGGCCTCAATATTTAATTATTTTGACTTCAGTGAATTCATGTGTAAAAATATTCTCTCTAAAGTAGATGTTGTAATTCCTGATAAACAAAGGACTATTTTTATTAAATTATTAAAAAAACATTGGAATTCAAGATCCTTTTTGTGCATTTCATTAAATATTTTGACCAATCTGTCAGATGCATCAATTGTTTTCTTCATTCAATTTCTTCAAGTGTTGATTGTTATTGTCCTTATTAGTGCCATTGATCAAGTTGTCAAATTTCACCTGTTTCTGTAATATGTTTAAATTCTTAACTATTCTGTAAGCTATATTTAATGCTATTGTTTCCTAGTAGAATTCATTCAAATTTATGACCCATATCAATTCATAATAAACATTTTCTAACAAATTATGACTTTGGAATACATTATACAAATGTATTTAATACACAACAACAAATGCAAGTTTGTTGATTTTCAGAAAATGGGACAAAACTGAAAATTTTACTAAAATTTTACTAAAACGATGGCAGGAATAGAACAAAGAAACAAACTGTTCTATTCAAAACAGCATGTATAGTTAGTATACCCAAGTTTTAATGTATTAAAAAACTTGAGTATGTTTTTTATGCCATGATAATACAAATGAATATGTTCTTGTCATTGTTCTATTGTAAAAATAAATAATTCTAGAAAAATTATACAAAATATAAAATGATTAGTACTAGAATTTAATGTTCTAAATAATGGAAGAAAAAATTAAGCAATAAATAAATGTAACTGGACTGATGATCTTATTGATCATGGAAATGAGAAAAAGCTGGAACATATGATACTTAATCACATTTTAATGTGTGAATATATATTTTTTAACTCTTTCCACCCTGCGAACACTAAGAGGGCCTGTTTTAGCAAGCCTATTATGAGTTCAGCCAGGCCCACAATGGGATAGCTGGATGGTGAGAGATGTGACCTGACATATCCGGACAAACCAGCATCTGAAAAATTCCTGGGGCTCTTTTGATTTGTCTTGATTTGGTCCCATGTCCCCCAGAGCAGTAGGCTGCCATCTTGATTGCTTGGCTATTTGGCTGTCTGTATGTGAATATTGTGTAGATACTGTTTAATTTTTTTTTCCAACAACTGAATAATTTAAATATGAGAAGAAAATATTCATTTCTAAACATTTTGTTAGTAGCTACTATTTGATTAGGGACTGAAGATGAATCTGAAAATAAAATCAAAATTATCTGCTATAAGTAATAGATATGTATATATCCATGGTGCGGTTTACTTTATATTACTTTTAAAAAATCAATTTTTCAAAAATATTTCCTCAAAATTGATGAAAAAACTTTATGGGTTAATTGTACATAAATAACCCCTGTTTTTTTGCCTGGACCGCATTTAATCAGAGACAAATAAAGAATACGAATAAAATTTTTGTCTCTGATTAAATGCGGTCCAGGCAAAAAAACGGGGGTTATTTATGTACAATTAACCCATAAAGTTTTTTCATCAATTTTGAGGAAATATTTTTGAAAAATTGATTTTTTTTAAAAGTAATAAAAAATCAAAATTGATGGAAATTTAGGTAGTAGCAGAGAGGCATTTTCATACAGATGAAACAATATAAAGGGAGGAAGAAACAACAAAGTTGGATGGATTGAATGTAGCACAAATAAAGAAATGAGAGAGAGAGAGAGAGAGAGAGCAGAAAAATTTGCATTTTCTTAAAGTCAGTTGGACAATGAAACTTAGATTTCTTTACAAGAAATTAATAATATTTCTTTTGTGAATTGATTTCTAATGCTTCAGATGTACTACACAATCAGTGTTGTCATTAACAAATAAAACTGTTCTGTCTCATACATACATACATACATACATACATACATACATACATACATACAAGAAAGACTTTGGCCATGCACAAGGTGTTTAGCCAGCAGAAAAGAGGGAAAGGGGGGAAGGAGGGAGAGGAGATAAATGCCAGTACAGAAATGCAGGATCCCTCTGATTGGCGTACATATGGCTACAGTACCCTCTGTTTGATGTTGGCGTGCAGTTTTTGGGCTGCAAGGCCATAGTCCCTCGAAGGGTCTAAAAGAAGGGCCTGAGTGTACCAAACTCCAATGATTGAGTGTTGCCACGAATAGCTAAGTGTTGAAGTTAGTGCCTTAAGACCGTTAATAGGAAGACTTATACCTACTTAATACTAATAAAACTGAATGCAATTGTGAATCTTAAAACTACTTAAAAGCTAGACAGAGAGCGCAAAAAACCTAATCTAGTTTAACCTAATCTATCATAACCTAACCAGAAACCAAGTTAAGGGTCCCTAATCTAACTTACAACTAGGACTAACTTAAACTAACCAAATTTAGACTGTAAAAGAAGACAGAAAATACAAAGTTGAAAAGCAGCTATACACTGACAGTTGAAACAAAGCAAGGGAAAGCTAATTGCCATCTGTACCTCTGGAGTGAGTGCTCTCAAGAGCCCCACTAAGTGATATGAATGTGAGTAGATGATGGAACATTGTACATGTGTGAATGAGTTGGTGTGGGTTGCGAGTTCTGTCTGATACAGAAGAATTATAAACTAGAATAATGAATGTTAGTGATAGAACCATCTATTACATATAACAATTGGTCTGTTAATTGTAATACTCTTGGTACAATTACAAAATCTAGAACATTGAAAATTTTTGCAAAAAAGCAGAATCTACTTCTACTACTGCATTAGAAGATACAATTAGTCAATTTGTTGTTGAATTTTCTTTTTCTTGATGACAAATGTTTATTTCAGGGACTGTATATTTTTGATGAATGATATCTTAATTCAGTTATATAATTCTTAGTTGATTACGTAACAGACCCGGGGTTGTGCTGCTTAGTGCCAAAATCATCACTTGGCAATATTTTTATTAAAGTGATGATAAAAATATAATATTGGCAATAGTAAGTGGCGATAAAACTCTAGTCCGCTTATTTTGACATTCAGCATGAAATTAAATCTCAAAACATGCTTCAGAATGTAGCGCTCCCATGCAATGGGAGTACTGTGCACCATATACCTAGTGATTTCATGACATCATGCAGCAAATTTGGACAGAAAAGTAGGAAGTGACATTGAAAATTGAAGGAAGTTTTCATGTAATGCTGCCTAACGATTTTAGATTGGGGACTTTTTATTGACTGACAGAAAGTTTGGGAAATTTTTTGGGGTGACTTTTTTCTCTCTAATTTTTTTTCAGTAGTCTAAAACAAAAATTTTGACATGACAGATGATGTGAAATGCTGTTTAAACATTGTGGTCAAATGTGATATTTGGAATTAGTCATTAAAAATTATTCAAAAATTATTTCTATTGCTAACAGATAAGTGACAGCTTAACATGTTACTTTTGCTTTCCAAACTCCAAACTGATAAGACTACCAGCATCTGCATTAATTACTAAATAAAACTGGTGGCAATAAATAATTTGAAGTGGTGAAAAAAATTTAAAACTGGTGAAATGGTTTGTGATATTTTTAAATTTTCCAGAGTGACACCTGAGACCAGAGATGGTCTGTGGGACTAATTTCTTATAATTTGTGACTCAAGGGAAGCAACATGATAATATGAATGGTGAAGTTGTTTAGTTGCATGAATCAGGAACTTATGAGGAGGGTGTAATATCCAATGTCACTAAAGACAGCTTCATGAATTTTGATTCAAAGTTTAGGATTTGGAGAAGAAAATTAAAAATTAGAGCAGAGGAGATTGTAGTACTCTGGCACTATTACTATTATTATTGTAGAGTTTTATGTATGTATATATATGTATATATATATCCGTTCTGTCTATGTCGGGTTTTGAAGTATTGTCACATGAATTAGTTGTTCTGTTTTCACATGTCACCTGTTGACGGGTTTTTGTACACAGGCGGGCAATTGGACACCTGTGTACCACGTGGCCTGGGCTTTAGCCCCGGATGGAGGGAAATATAAAAGGTGAGGTTACGTGTGGATAAGACACTTTTTGGGTTGCCTACTTACCACCTGGACAAGACGTTTTGGACTTCTGAGAAGAGGTGAGAATCATGGTATCTTGTTCAGCAAGGAACGAGGAGAAGGGGTTATAATAGAGGAATCTGTTTGCATCCGAGTGAAAGATCTGAATTTTGTCTTAATTCCCTGACCAAGAAGGAGTCATAATTGAAGGGAATGCCTAGTAACTCTTACTTCGTTCTGAGGAGAAGGATAATTTTCATTGTCACGTTATACTAAAACGTGTTGTTAGAAAAGGATACCAATGCGTGTATAAAGTGTCGTATGTTGTGGATTGCCAGCGCATGATCATCTTGTAATTTATGTGAATTGTATATACGTATGTATTCATAGTTATAATTAGGATAAGTTATCAGTCAGATAAATTTTGTAATGCCTCATCGTTGTGCTCTTATGCCCTGAGATTGGTTAGTCATAATTGTTCTTTGTGCGGCTATTGTATATTAATGATTATTGTTGTTATAAAGGATAAAATTTTTTTTGTATCGACAAGATCTCTTAAGTGTGTTTGATTGTAAAGTCCTTAACACTCTTGCACTCTTGCCCTAACACAATGTCCAGAACTACTCAGTTGATTCCAGACACTACAAGACTTACCTCCTGAAATGCAATCTGGCTCGCAATGTCTGATATGAAACTAATTGTATAAAATAAATGTTAATAATGAATAGTGGGCATTTGGATTAAGAACCAAAAATAAACATGGCCTGACAGTATTTATTTAGAAAATAAAAATGAAAAATTTACATAATAAAATACACAGTAAATAATACAAAATCAAAATGGCATTAGAAAAGCAATTTTAGTAATAATAGATTGACAGGCAACATGTTAGAATAAAAACAAAAATTTCTGATGTGTGAACTTGGAAGAATAGGTACATGTAAAGTTTTTGCTTTGTTTTTTTTTATTTGTGAGAGATGTTTACTGGTGTTTAAACAATATATGTATTCCAATCAAAAATATACACTGTATATATACATTACAATGGTGTTTATTGTAAATCTGTAACAATTATATTAAGATAGTGAAATTTAAACTTTATAAGGACTTCTGGGACACTGTATAAGGTACTATTACGTATACAACTTTTATATATAAATTAAAACTTTGTTTGCATTATTCTGTTCAACAATTGAAAATTGATTATTATTCTCTTGACTATTGAGTATAATTATATATTCAATTCTGTATTTTAAAAATTTATCTCATAATATACAACAATAAATATCATTGTAAGGAAATTTTGTATTATTTTTGGTTTTTTTTTATGTTTAGTGTTTTGTATTGTTATTGGAGGGAGAAAATCTTTTCTCTATTGGACAATTCCTATTGTATTTAGAAATAAATAAATAAATAAATTAAATATATATATTCTCCAAAAATAAAAAATGGCTTATATATAAATTTCTGATAATAAATGAATTTAACATTTATGATGATCTGTATTTAAAACGAAAATTAAAAGCTATAATTTATTAATAGGTGTAGGAAAAACTAGTATTATATTGAGATATGTTGGACAAGTTTTCAGTAGACATGTTTCACCAACTATAGGAGCATCATTCTTTACCTGTCGAATGTAAGTAAAATTATTTATTTTTCTTTTTATAGTGAAAATTTCAGAAAAATTAATTTCTTTAAATATTATAGATGTAGATATTATTTACAGAATATGCATATTTATTTATTTCAGTTTAATTCATTACTAATAAGTTCTATTTTCAGTATACACAATATATGTATTTGTATGATTATATTGTATTATATACTGTATTTTTATCATTTACAATATAATTTCAATGAATTTTTTACACCAGCTCACAAAACTATCTGGACACCTATAGAATGAAAGAGTTTTTTAGCTATCACTCATTTCTTACATGAAATAGGAAAACAAAATAATGACAGATGTAAAATCTTTAGACTTTTTTACAGTAGAAAAAAAGTATTTATATGTACAAAAACATTCATCAAAAAGAGAAATATAATTTTGTGAAAATTTTTGCCATTTCAAATATCACATAAGTATCCAAACAGAAGAAATAATGATAAAACAACAAAATATTTTATACTTTTAAGAACAAGTTGGGCCTTTTTTTGCCCGTATAACCAGACATTGATTCATCCAAATTTTTATAACAGTTTTGTCTATTAAATTCAAAACTCTGTTGTTGATGATGTTTTTAAGATCAGTTTTGTTTGTTATTGATTCTGTTCTGATTGTTTGTTCAATTTGATCTTATAAATGCTCAATTGGGTTGAGATTGGGTAAATGAAGAAAACAATTGATGCATCTGCTAGATGGGTCAAAATATTTAATGAAATGCACAGAAAGGAGCTTGAATTCCAACGTTTTTTTAATAACTTAATAATAAATAGTCCTTTGTTTATCAGGAACTACAACATCTACAGTAGAGAGAATATTTTTGCACATGAATTCCCTGAAGTCAAAATTAAATATTGAGGCCACAAAAATGATGATGGTAATTATAAAGCTAACTGCAACTTACAACGTGATAAGTTTTATTACTTTTTTTTTTATTAGATTTTTGAAAATAAAATCTTTTATAGAAAATTACATATTCTTTTTTATGCTACCAAATGAATATCAGTAATTAATTAAATACAGTAGAGCGTCAATTATCCAAAAGTCAATCATCCGAAACGTCAATCATCCGAAAGAATTCCAGTCGGCAAATTTAAATTTTTGCCAGTGCTGTGGCACTGCAATCTTTGGCTATGTCTTGGGCTACTCAAATATTTTACATATTTGATACTAAATTAACTTCTGAAGTATAATTTTTTATTGTTTTTATATTTTTCAATATATTTATTTTGTTCGTACAAAATAAAAAAATAATTTTTAAGGATACGATAGTCTTCGTTAGGCTTAACATCGACAAAAATTCAACGCGAAGCGACAAGCAACGGAGAAAAATGTCTAGATGGGATAAATTAATATATTTTTTCGTACATAATTGGTTATCCGAAAAATAAGTTATCTGAACAACCCCAGTCCCCAATTGATTCGGATAATCGACGCTCTACTGTACTAACAAATTGTTAATAATGCCAATCTATATTTCTTGATGAAATTTTAGTAAGAGAAGTCCTATATTTATCAGTTTCAGCTCACCTGCCCCTTTTTGGTATCAAGAAATTATGGTCAGCCTATTTTAAGATCTTTACCTTTCAGAGAAGAAAAGCTTAAAATATAATAATTATCAAACTTTAATTAAAATTAAGTTATTTGTTTCGCTTAGCAAAAATGTTGACATAAAATTTCTTTACAATCCAATATAGATTTAAATTAAAATGAAAGTATTCTAGATCTGATATATTTTGAAAATATTTTGGATAAACATAAGCTACAAAATAAAATCAATACATCTTAAATATTATTTTTTTTTTAAATTTTGTCTTTTTTTATTCAAACATGTCTTTTTTTAAGTTTTGATTTGTTGTCCAGATAGTGTTTTTAAAATTTTGATATTTAAGTTTTATTGCACTGTGACATATTTAATTATAAGATGGCAGCAAATATTGCTTTGTCTCTTTGGGCCATTTTCAATGTCTGCCATTATTTGTTTTACAACTTGCTTATAATCAACAATTAAAATCAACTTTTGCAATAAGCCAAACAACTAATTTTTGTGATTCAACTATTGCAAACATTTAAAGAATAAGAAGCCATTGAAAAAAAGAACAATGTAAACCAGATAGAAAGAGAAAGCATGCTCAAATTTCAGAAAAAATCTTCAGGCCATATATTGCAATTCCACAACATGTCTAAAAATCAAGAAAAAAAGTTTTTTGACAATGAAAACAAAATATATTAGATGGCCATAATTTTTATGCTATTTTATCCATAAAAAAGAGTATGGCTCAGTGTGATATTTTATGCTTCTCTATTATGGAGTTTAATGAGTTAAAGATAAATAAACAGTTTGTGATTCAAATTTAGCCTGACAGAATCAGGACAAGGCTCAAATTACTGTTGGGTTGTGTTGTAATATTGACAGCAGTGATATGTAATTACCATGGATTATAAGATAGACATATGACCTCTAGCCTTTTAATCAGAAAAATTCTGAACAACCTATTGTTCAAAAGATTATAAAGCTATTGGAATTGAATATCTTGATCTTAACTTGATGGATAAGAAAGAAAATTTTTGAAGTATATATAACTGAATTTAACTGAAAATGAAAACCAAAAAACATTTTTTTGCTAATTGCTCTGTTCATTATAATCTACAACTTTGGACAAAATAAAAACTGAGTGTTTCAAAAAAAATGTCAATTGCACAACTTTGGATACAGGTATCATTTGTAATTTTAAACATCATTATTGCAGGGGCGTGCCGTGACATTTGATGATAGGGAAGCTGTGTTTCTATAAGAAGCCGACATCCAGGGGCAATCAGTTAATTCTTTCTTTAAATGTACTTTTAATAGATTATTTATCTGACGTACTTAATAAACAAGTTCATTATAATTACCTCTGTTATTAGATCCAATATATTCCATATGCCCTCTAAATGCCAATTCTTGCTTTGATAAAAACATATAACATCTATTTATTTAAATACTAGCTTATCCGTCGCGCATTGCTGCGATCTCAGAAGAAACGAAATTCAAGCAAA